TTTGTATGCCCTGCTAGAAAAGTTTGGCTGGATCTCTCTAAGTGGTGATAGATAATTCCCTGGACACAATCTGAGTTTTAATCCCTCAATAATAGTCCTAACTATGCAACACTGAATAAATTTCCCAATTAAGGAAGACTCAGCTCCTCTTGAGAGGAAATAAGATTGAAAGAAAAATAAGACCTGTTTACTAAATCAGATTCAGACTGTGAATAACAGCATAAAGCAAAGAGAAGTAATGTCGTTGAGATCCTGAAGATCCTCTTGTTCTAAAGAGAGTTTGAGAGAATGACTTTCCACCAAACTTTGTGTGAGGACTATTTTCCCGTCACTGTCTCCTCTGATCTAGATGTTTATCACCACATTAAATCCCAGTGTCGGCTCTGGGCCAGTCAGGTAGATGGATCTGAAACAGCTGGGAAACTTATTTTTTCTGTTTAGGTATAAACCCAGGAATATAATTTATAAATCCAAATAAGTATCTAAATTAGAAGAAAGAAAGTAAAACTGAAGATCGGCAGGGTAACATTCTTGGACCTCCACCCTCTATCCATCAAGGGAAGAACCATGCAGAAATAAATGCCTAGCACCTTTCACAAGAGGCTGTGAAGGTTATGTGATGTGACAGAGTAAAAGGAGCAGAGGGACTACAGAGAAATAAGCTTGCTAAGTGGAGAGTTAATTTTGGTTTCTGAATGACCACAAAGGAGGTGGTTATTTGTGGGTGTCCAAAAGTTAAAGCTCTTATCCCTTGAGAAAATATGAAAGATTATGTAAATAAGATAGGAAACCCATTCAGCACTATGGAATCAGTAAATGGTAGAAGAAACAAGCAAAGAAGTAAAAATAAAATGATTATGTATTTTTGTAGATGCAAACAACAGGGAAGTTTAGTAGTACACTTTTCTACCCAGCAATCTCCTCTATTATTAAGGACAAAGTATTGAATTTATGCTCACGTGGAAGTAGTAAAAATTAAACTTGAAAAAGTATACAAAATACAAGAAAAGCCTAATGTGCCCAAAATCAAGATATAGAACTAGTCAATCACCACAAAAGAACTCCTTTATGTTACCTCTTTGTATTCACATTCACTTCCCACCCCACCTCATCCTTCTCCCCATCACCTGGCAAAGGCTAATCTCTTCTCTACCTGTATAGTTTTGTCATTTTGTTAATGTAATATAGGTAGAATCATATAACTTTTGGAAGTGAGTTCTGCAACATTTTTCACTAAACATAATATTCCTGTTTGGGTTGTTGTATGTATCAGTAGTCCATCCCATTTTATCACAGAAATGTATTCCATTGCATGGCTATATCAGAGTTTGTTCAACCACTGATCCATTAAAGATATTTGATTGTTCCCAGTATTTTGTTATTACAAATAAAGCTGCTAAGAACATTTGTGTACAGGTTTTGCATGAACATACATTTTTATTCTAGGGGATAAATGCCCAAGACTGAAAGGCTGCATTATATGGTGAGTGCACATTTAATTTGAAGACAGCGCTGAAGTGGCTATATTCTGACCAGCAATGTATGAGAAAACCAGTTTTCCTGTATCCTCATCAGCATTTGATATGATCACTATTGTTCATTTTACCTATGCTAATTGATGTGCAGTAGTCAACCTATGCCCTTTAATTGGACTATTTGCTATATTTACATTGAAAATAACAATAATATGGTTGGGTTTTATAGAAATTAAGAAGAAAATGTGATCTTTCATAGTTTCTCATATGTTTGCCATTTACAGTTCTAATCATTACTTCCCGTAGAGCTGTTTTCATCTACTGTCATTTACTTCCAGCCTGAAAAATTTCCTTTAGCATTTTTGTAGTAAAAATCTGTTAACAATCAGTCTTCCCAATTTTCATTATTCGTGACATTCTGGCTGCATTGTCATAATTACTACTAAGCAGAGAAGTTTCCTGGCTCTTGTTGCAGAGCCTGGAATGGTATATCCTCCAAAATCACCTCCTCCCAAAAGGCTCATTCATAAGCAACAGAGGTCATTTGAAATGATTGCTGCTATTCTCCCTAAGTCTAAACACTCCGAAAGTCTGTTTACCAATTCCTGGCTGCTTTCTGAGCACCCAGTTCATAGAAAGCCCTGTCCTCGAACTCTCCCAAATCTGGGTGGTGAAGCTTGTCTAACTCTCTCTTCCTTAAATTTTCCTGATCTTTATCTCCAAAAATTACAGTAGCCAGCTCTCTGTGACTTCATTAACACCATGCCTCAGAAGTAAAAATCAAAGAATTTTTGTGAGTATACTTCTTATTGTTTTGTCACTTTCCTACAGCCAATGACCATGGACGTTATACTGGGAGAAGCCCTGGGCATCTTCCAATACTCATGCCCTGCCGAAACTTATGAAGATGACAAGAGTGAGTATAGTTTAGGCCCCCAGACAGCATCCAGAGCCATCAGCTGAATAATAAGTTGGGCTCAGCTCATAACCAGGCCACTGCTCCAGTTCTTATATTAGTTCAGCAACCCCTCCACACATTTACACTGTGGGGGAGTGTTTGAAGATGAAATCTTTTTTTTAAATTTTTTTTTAATTTTTAAAAATTTATTGATTTTTTAAAAAATTAATTAATTAATTTTTTCAAATACATTTGTCTCTGCCTCGCCCCCCACCACTTTCCCTTGCTCCCTCCCTCCCTCCCTCAATTCTTCCCCTTTGGTTTTGTCCATGAGTCCTTGCTATATGTTCCTTGACTTTCCCCTTCCCTTCCTTTTCCCCCGCCCCCCTCCCTCCTTCCCTCTTGTGAAGACAAAATCTTTATTTGGTTATTGCTACATGATATCTCTTTACCCTGAAGAATCACAGCAAAACCACACTTGCATTTTAAAGAGTTACCAGATCAAAGCAATCCTGAAGCAATATTTTCAGAGCAGAAGCCCACTCATCTGAAATTGTTCTTCTCTTAGTTTAACCATGTGAGACATGTGAAACCCCTTCATCCAATCTGTAAAACTTATACAGAAAAAATTCCTAATTCTTCTGTCTATATTCCTTCTGGATCTTCTCTGTATAGGTCTCCTATTTCTTGCTTTCCTGTCCTCTTAGATCTATGGGTCAATGGCAATTTTTCCTCCATCAACTTCCAGCAAAGAGAGATGGGTTGATGTAATTTGCTTAGAAGTCTTTATAATCAGACAGACAAGAAATGACAATGTCCTGAAGAATTAAGAGGAAGTGATGGAAACGAAAGTCTGAATTTAAAAGAAATTGATAACAGCTCTGATCGGTGTGGCATCATCATGCAAACTGAAAGGTCATGGGTTTGATTCCTGGTCAGGGCATATGCCTGAGTTGCGAGTTTAGACCTTGGTTTGGGCTTGTGCAAGAGGTACATTTACAGAATGCAATACTATGCAGCAGTAAAAAAGTGGAACTTCTTACCTTTTGCAACAGCATGGATGAACCTGGAAACTATTATGCTAAGTGAAATAAGCCAGTCAATGAAAAAAGATACGATATGATTTCACTTATAAGCAGAATCTAACAAAAAGAAGAAACTAATGAGCAGAACAGAGGCAGAGGCATAGAAAACAAGGAACAGACTGAGAGCTGTAAGGGAGGAGGGAGAAGGGGGCTGCTTGAGAGAAGGTGAAGGGAGTAGTCAACGAACATAATAAATGACCCATGGACGCGGACAGTGGGGTGGGGATTGACTGTGGGAATAAAGGGTGGGATGAGTGGTGAAGGGCAAAGGGGGAAAATTGGGCAACTACAATAGAATAAACAATAAAATATTTAAAAGAAAAAAAGGATGACATAGAAAAACAGCTACCGAGATTACAGAGTGATTCTTCCATCCCAAGAAATCTCAAAGCTAGAGAAAGTCGTATGGACTAAGTGATGTTATCAAACTTACGAGTACATTCAAATTTTGTATCTACAAGAAGAATGGGCATTAAGAAGCTCAATTACATCCTGTCCTGGTCAGAGACAAAATATGACAGGTATCACCCAATTCCACGCACCTGGCTCAGAATCTCTCACCCCATTCTTCTCTGCGGGCACTTCCTGCTCACCCATCTGAGAGTCAGAAGGAGCCTTGGGCACTGGTAACTCTTCTGCATCATCATAACCATCGCTAAAGGCATCAGCCCTCTGAGCTGGAACTTCTAAGGGCAGACAATGGGATCAGGTGAAAGCACAGTGAAGGGGTTGATTTAGGTAATACCTACAGTTCTTTCTGACCCAGAGATTCTGATGGCTGCTAATCAGAGCCACCATTGACCCTATGCTTTAACGGGTATTCCAATGTCATGCATTTCATTTCTATATGCCAATAAACTGGCTAATGATTCAAATATCTCAATATTTTTGAATGAAAGTAAATACTTTTTAAAGCAAGTCTTACACCAAGGACCATTACTAAAATATTTGATCAGGTTATCATTTCCAGTTATTTTTTAAAAACAATTTGTGCCTCTTGTGACTGAATGAGGGTGGTTCTGGACACTGAGAGCCTGGCCCCAACATGGGGCATTGCATAGTCTCCAGACAAGAGGAAGACTGGAGTCCAGTGAGACAAGAACTTTTTCATCTCATATAAAGGAGACTATTCTGCCTGGCTCTCATTTCTGGGAGGAATTTCCCTTGTCCTTAACAGGCAGCCAAGACACGTCCACCTCTACTACCTAGAACAGACTTATAGTCACTGATCTACTCACCATCCCCAGTGTAATATGGCAGTTTTGTCACCGAGTCATCTGACAGGGATTCTAAAGCAGAGAAAAACATCACAAAAACAAACAGAAAACCTTTTCCACATCCAGGGGCTCCACAGTGAGAAGAAATGCTGGGTAGGCATGGCTCTTGTGGTGTCAAGGGAAGGCTCGGATCTCAGAGGGGTGATCCTCTGCCTCTGTGAGCCTGGAGTATATGTGAGGTCTGCAGATGCTGAGAAGACCTGTCCCACAGCCAATGGATGGTTGAGAAATAGAGGCCCCAGGATGGCAAGGCAGGGACACTCACGTGGGCTGCTCAGGAGATCCTCTTTCTTCGGTGTTAAAATATAATCAATCTCCTCATACAAGGCCTGGTCAAGAACATCTTCATAGCTGGACAAGGCTGAGCAACCAGAGGCAGGTCAGAGATTACTCCTGACACAGCCCTGAACTAACAGGCTGACCCTTCATTGTCCCCTAGGCTCACATGTGGAAAAACCCTCACAGTTTCCAGGGACCCTCTATAGTCTTATACCTCCGCACAACATCTGCACCTTCTAACTTCGTGTGACCCTGTAGCCAAAGCTCAGCTCCTGGTCTTTCCTGTCTCACATATAAAGCTATGACTTATGAGTGCTCGTATCTCCACTCTTTAGAACACCTGTATTTTCAGCCCTTAGTGGCTAATGAGGGGCAGGTGGATTTTGCAGACTAATGAGGTAAGAACAGATACCTTGCCCAGTTTTCCCCTTGGCACTTCTGGTCCCATTTCCTGCTTCCATATAATTTGTATGTTCCCCAGTACCGTCTGCAGCCCACCTCTGTGCTCCACTCTCCATCTGTGCAGCTGAATCACCAGAATGATGAGGACCAGGAAGAGAAGGGATCCCAGGATGAGGCAAAGGATCCCAGGAACAGAGAAGATGCCAGGGACGTGACTTGGGCCATATCTGGTCTCTAAAAAGAACAAAGCCAGGAGGATTTGGAGAAGGGCATATGTACAGGGAATCTAACTTATACCAATGTTTCCAGAGAGCTCAGGACAGTGAGTCCCAGCTTTCTACATAATGGGATTGACTGCCACCCTCCTGGGCCATGTCCCACACTATGATCTAAGACAAATTCAACTCCACTCCAGGTTGATCCATGGGAGTGCTAGGGGTTTTCAGCGATCCCCAGAAGTACAACAATCTCTGAGAGCCAGGGCACAGCTTCAGCCCCTTCTCTTGGGCTTCACCAGACTAGAGCATCAAAGCTTCTACTGATAACTCCCCACCACCCAGTTGCTCCTTGGGATCTTTATTTCCTGAGTTGGCTAATTCTGTCAGAGACTCTACAGAAAATGTCCCAAGAATTTGGACATTCTCTCACATACATGGATGGTGGTACTGTACCTGCTGTAGTGGTTGGCAATGTTGATCTTTTACCTATAGAGAAAAACAGGAGTTTGGAGCACGGGAATCGGCCAGAACCCTGGGGAGTCCACTTTTCCCACCTGAGCCCTAATATCTCCCTTTGGCTACCACAATATCAATATTGAATTCTCTCTGCTCCTCCATTGCTAATCCAGGGCTACAGCCCCTAGATGCTTCCTGAACACAAAGTGCCCATTTTACCGCAGCCCCGCCCATTGCCCCGCCCCTGTACCAGCCCAACCAGAGCCCAACCCAGGCTCCACCACTCACCAGAGCACCTCACTCCAGCGTCCTCCTCGTGCTTGCAGTCGCTCTGCCCCCAGGGGTCCGCAGCACAGGCCCACAGGGAGGACTCCCTGCCCCTGCACTGTACCTCATCCAGCCAGACGCGCCCATCTCCTGGGCCAAACGCCGCCTCCTGCAAGGCTTCCAGGGCAGAGCCACAGCCCAGCTGCTGACACACCACCTCGGCCTCTGCCAGGCTCCACGAGTCGTCACACACCGTGCCCCAGGAGCCATTGTGCCAAACCTCCACTCGCCCTGAGCACTCGGTGTCTCCATCCCTGAGTCGGAGCTTGTCTCTGTCTGACAAGGGAGCAGCACCTCCTGTTACCACCCCTGGGGAAGGAAGGCGCCCTGGGAGCCCACAGGGGAGGTGGGAGGGGCAGAGGTACCTGTGCAGGGGGCAGCAGTGGGACAGCTCTTGGGTCTCTTTCCTGCAGAAACAGACAATGGTGAAGCACTGGATCAGGGTCAGCTGGGCGTGGTCTTGCCCCACAACCAGATAATTTAGGGTGCTTTCCTCAGTCCAGTGACAAATGAAAACACAGACCTCATAATTAATCTAATGACCTGAGTTACTGAGAGATTCACTGGATCCTAGCCTCTATCCCCAGCTGAAATTACTTTATCTGTTTACTTGTTTATCACTCTCCACATTCCACAACAAATACAAACACAGACACATATACCCCCGAATAAAGGTCTCCTAAAAGAAGGACCTTACATATTTTCACCTCCATGTTTCTGATATTAAGACAGTGCCTAGCACTTTGTACACATTCATTCAACAAGCATACATTGAGAACCTTCTATACATACCATGTATAAGACCTTGATCAACATTTATTGAATGAAAGAATCAAGGAATAAAATCCAGTGAAATATAATTCTTTTAAGTCTTGCTGCCCAGCAAGAGAATAAAGGAAATACAAATTAATATAAATGATATGTGGCAATAAATAGTGGGTGATAAAAACAAGTTCAGAATCTCACAAGTAATTTGTATTCAGTATTGCACTTATATTTTTTAAAGGGAGATTATACTGCAAACTTTCCTTATAATTTTATCTGTGAAAATGGACAAGCAAAAAAGATTACTATAGGAACAGGATACATTTTTTAAAAAGGACTAGAACAAGTAGAATTTATGGAAAGATTGTTAGCTAGTTAGTGAGACAGGAATGTCTCTATGAGACTCAGATAAATATACTAAGCAAAAAAACATTAAGAAGACACAGAGGATCAAAACAAAACACATGTAAGATTTGAAACCAAAGAAAACAGACATAAATTCAAAACAACACAAGAAAAAAAGAAATATCCACAGTACTTGCCATAACATGTCAGATTGGTCTTATCTTTCCATATTGTCATATCAAACCTCTTGCTCTATGCAGAGGACATCTCTGAAAGTGATGGTAGGACCTCTCTTGGGTGGTGTTATATCAGGATCAAAAACCTCACTATCCCTTAATTATTGTGTTTGATTGTAGAAAATTATCATCAATATAAGGTCTTATAGTTTAATATTTCTTCAGTCTTTCACAAGAGTGAGAACATAAAGATGAAGAAAGAGAGACAAGGAAGGGAGCAAGCCCCTGCCTGTAAAATACCTGTTTCTCATTGTTGTGGATTTCAAGCAACTCCCACTGTATGGTCCAAAGTAAACCCAAATGAGGTGTAGTGTGGTTGGGGGGAACAACCCAAGAGGCAGGAGAAAATGTTGAGGGTAGAGAAAACATTGTGAAAATGCAAAAGAAAGATGGAAGAGAGAGAAAGAAGAGAAGCAAGTAAAGAGGGAGTAGGGAAGGAAGAAAAAGGAAGAGAAACAAAGCAACTGCTACCCTTATTCAGACTTCAAATAGAATGAGGTTTGTGGGCTTCGTAAGCTTATTGATTTTGGAGCATCTTTGTGATTTGGCTTTACTTTAAGAGTCAATCTCAGTGTCTAGATATGAAGAAGACAATTGAAAATAATTAACCTGAGAAAATAATTTGACCATATCCTAACATTTGTATGTATGTGCACCTTCTTATCCTTTGATCTAATAATATAAACATTGGTTGTAATCCTATAGCAATAAAGTAACTAGTATGTAGAGATACATGATGATAATATATATCACAAAATTATTTGCATAGGGAAAATTGGACTACCAATAAATAAGCAAATGCTTATATGAACTGTAGTACCATCTTCTCATGAATGAGGTATTTTCCATTATTTAAATGAGTTATAGCAACCTGGAGGAAAGTGCTATGGTTGCTGGGGAGAGGAGGGTGAGTAGAGTGGAATAGGGTATAAGAGGGATAAATGGTAATGGAAAAAATACCATAAATATACATTATTAGAAAAACCAATTAAACAGCATTATATATGATTGAATCTCAATTTTATTAAAACCAATAATAAAACACCATCCACAGAAATCGTTTTATGGGTATGAGCTTGGATATGCTTTAGTGGATAAAACATTGCAGCTGTGGATACTACATTCCAGCACCTTACTTCCAACTCTCTGTCTGCCCAGTTTCTCAAAAGTATTGTGTGTATTTTATCCATCACTTTATTCTTTGATATTTTAGTTTCTGGTCTCCACCCTCCCCTAACACTCCACCTTCAAATGAGTCTAGTTAAGACAATCAATGACATACAATGAATTTAATGGGCACACTTCAGTTCTCATTTATTTAATGTCTTAGTAGTGTTAACACATGTGACTATTACCCTTTCCTTGAAATTTTTTTTAACCTGGCTTCCAAATGCAATATTTTCTGGATCCTATTCTTCTGTCAGCTCTGCATCAAACTCCATGTCAGTTCATAAAATGCTCTACCCAATTTTTAAATATTAATGTTCCTTGCATTCTGTCCTAGGAACCTTTATTTTCCTAGTGATATCATTCCCTCCAATCTAAACATCTCTATGACAGCTTCACAAGTTGTATCTCTCACCCAGATCTTCTCCCTAAACTCAAATTGCCTGATGACATCTATCTCCACCTGAGTTCCTTATTCACTTTGAATTTAATGTATCAAAACTGAGCCATAGAATTTCCTCCCATAGGCTTCTGTATTGATCATATTAATAAAAGGCACCCCTGTATCTCTAGCAGTCAGCTTTGACTCCTTCAAGCTATTTTAAGTTACCATTATGCATGTCATTTTCCCTGAAATAATCTTTTGTTTATCCTGTCCTCAAAGGATTTTTTGTTTTATTTATTTATTTTAATTTATTTTTGAGGGAAAGAGATAGAAACAAACATCACTTTGTTGTTCCACTTATTTATACATTCGTTAGTTGATTTTTGGATATGCCCTGACTGGGGACTGAACCTTCAATCTTGGTGTATCAGCATGATGTTCTAATGAACCAAGCTACCCCACTAGGGTCAAAGGATGTTTTCTTAATGCAAAACTGATGAATTTACTTCTGAGCTTAAAAACCTTTCAATTAGTTTTCATTACAGTGTCATGAATACTTTTTATTTTTGAGTACAATATCCATACCTGCTGAGTGGAAGAGGGACTGAGTGGTGGGTAGGGGAAGGAACATGTATGGCTTTGTCAACTGGGGTAAGAATTCTGAGTTTCATCAAAAGGTCAATAGAAGGCCACTGGTGGCTTAAGAAAAAAAAGTAAAGAAACAAAAAAAATAAAATAAAAATATACAAACTAAATTTTAAAACTTGTCTCTGGCTGACAGAGGAAAAATACACATCATGGAAGAGAAAGAGTGAACCTAGGTGGCTGCTGGCAACTGTTGGTTAATCCAGGCAAGAGGTTCTTTTCTGGACTAAGATGATAATGAAAATAGAAAGGGTAGGAGGATTAAGGATACATTAGAAGAGAGAGCCAACAGAACTTGCCGGTATATTTGAATAGAGGGGAAGGGAAGCGAGAGAAATGAGGATTGATTCTTATTTATGGAGCTTACGTAATGGTAGTGACATTAACTGAAATGAGAAATAGAGTAGGGAGAAAAAATTTAGGTACAGGGTTAAGCAGGTCGAAAAAAACATTCTGTTTTATGTCAGCTAATGATTGAAGATCTGAAGACTTTGACAAGGTGAGTGTGAGTACAATCTACTGCCTGAGACGAAATGCTGGCCTAAGGTAAGGACTAAGGCCACTGATGTTGGAGCTTAGAAGAGAGTCTTTGCACAGGCCACAAGTCGGTAGATGTGCTGAAAGGAAGATGAGTTGTTTCTATTTTCATTTCTCAGTGAGGTAAGTCGCAAGATCCTGATTTTGAGAGCAGATAGTAAGAATCAGGTTTTAAAAAAAATTTTTTTAATTGGTGTTCAATTACAGTTATCCTCCCCTTTTTAAAACTCCATTTTGACAGTGTGAGGAAAACACTTCGTATATAAAATATAATTTTAAAGATAGGGAAAGCGCACATATTGGAGAAGCATAGTAAAACTTTAAGGCAGCGTGGAATGCCCATTAGAGATTGTGTCCGTGAAATCAAAAATAGAGTAGCAACATGCTGTGTGTTTTGTCCTTGCCTTATTTGTCTAGTACAGGCAAAGAGTAGTTAAGTAGTTGACTTCAACCATTCTCATGTGTGTCTGTTAAGGCTGACAAAGAGGAGGCAAGAGAGTTGAGCGTAGTTAAAGGAAAGTGATTATAATGTTGGATCATATTATTGAATGTGGCTAAGAAAAATGTGAAGTCATGAGAGAAGAAGAGTAAGAAAAATCAATAGGGGAAAGACTGGGCATATCCATGAGGATGGAAATTATTGGAAAAGGATCATTAAAGTTCATGAGCCATATCATAAGAAGCAATGATCAGAGAATGGAATTAAAAAATCAAGATTTCAAGGTGTACAGTTACTGATGGTTGGTAGTGTATGCAGAGCCAGAGGTTGGATTGGAGGGAAAGTGCTTAGAAATGAGGGACTGAACAAACTGAGAGGCCAGGATTGTTGCCTTAGTTCCATTTAAGTATGCTGGAGTAACTATTCATGGTTCCAGGAGTGCAACATAGACTAAGAACGTCGTGAGCCTGGTGCTTCAAGTCTTCAGTGGGCACGCGGGGTTGGGGGGGTGTGCATTGAGCAGAAGGTTGGACGATGACAGCAACAGGCAGAAATAGGAGGTGGTACTGCCTCATGCTGTTAATTTCAATGTGATGTTGAGAAGAAACACAGAACAGAAATTGTTGAAAATGGCAACTGAGAGCGAGGAGCATACCTACTCCAAGTCTAGTGCAGGGAAAAGTGTATTGAAAGAGATACAGACAGCCTCTGAGAGGAAAATTGGTGTTTTCAGGAAAAGTCAGATTTTGATCTGAACACAGAAGTGAAGGGGACAATGAAGATATAAAAGAATTTGCAGGATGATGGGCTCCAAATTCTGCAGAAGATTCTGGGAGAAGGAATGAAGGTGCAGAGAGTACACAATAGTAAACGAGAAAGGCCCAGAACATGAAGTATTTATTAGAGAAGAAGACCAATATACTGAGGGCCTCTTTGAAGAGACAAATTCAAGCTGAAAAATATAGGGAGGGAGTCCACTGACCTCCCAGCAGTTCTCCACGACCTGGCAGCCAAGAAGTACATAAACAAACAAAGAGACAAAACAACAACAACAACAAAAACTCCTCTTTAATAGAATTATTCTCCTAAGTCCCGCCTAACAGAGGTCTTTGCTCTGCTTTCCATTCTGGGCTAATCCTTTGCTAATCCTGTATCTCTCTACTTCATCCACTTTCTGCTCTGGCCAAGATGGAATTTTCTCAGTACCTCAGATATACCATGTCCTATCCCAACTCAGTATTTGCAATGACCAAAATGATCTGTCCCCTTTTTTCCTCTGAGAAACTTGAGCTCATCCTATAGATCTCCGTCTAAATATTATTCTTCTTTTGCCTGTATAACATGCTCTCAAGCACTTTCTCATTTTTCATGATTCTTGAAATTTATGCCACATGTGTGTTTCAGCACTAGATTGTAAGTGTTATGAGAGCCGTGACTATAATTTTTCACCTCTCTGTCTTCTTACCTAAAGTATAAATTTGTACCCAGAGGACTCAATTACTACCAGCCAATCCACCAATCCACTGAGCTGAGAAGTAGTCTAAGTGGTATAGATGCATTTCAGAAAAACATCAAGAGTTTGAGAGATGGAACAATCAGGATTGATTCCATGCTCTGACCCGAACTTCCTTTCAGGTGCTGGGCATACCTTTTAACTACTCCTAATTAGTTAGTAATTCCTTAGAAAGTTGGTCAGACTATTAATGGTGCTCCCAAGTTTTTGCCAATCTCTCATATTTTTCACATAATTGCTATGAGCACAGGTGTTCTTACTTTTTCTTTTGAAACCAGATTGCAACATGTGGATTAAATCATGTTCACCCATCTGCATCATGTACGCTCACATTAAATTCTTCCCTTAGATTTGAAAATAGAAATATCACTAACAGCTTCCTACAGGGCTGGGACAGATGCATAGAAACAGACAGCAAATACCTGCACACGTGATATGAGCTTCCTCCTTCAGAATGCAAGAACTGTGTTTCCAAGGGTCGGAAGGACACTGCCAGAGGGACATATCAGTGTTCCGACACTGGATTCTATCCACCCACCGGGGTCTGGAACCTTCTCTAAAATTGACCGAAGAATCAAGGGTCCCACTGTCCCCACAGCCAAGGTGTCTGCAGATCGTGGACAAGGTCATGGCTTCCATGGGGCTGTGGCAGACGCTGCCCCAGGTCCCATTGTAGAAAACTTCTAGCCACCCGGCACACTCCTGGTCCTCGCTCACCACCCTCAGCGCCAGGGACTCTAAAGTGAAAGGGAAAGCAGAGCACAGTGAGCAGCCCATCAAGCTCCGCATTTCTTCTCTCCCCCAGTGGATGTGAACACTCATCGCTCACTCTTCTGAGACATCCACTAAGTGGCAAGACTGACATTTGTGTCCATTTTCCCTGACTTCGTCCATTTGTATCTGTGTATGTCTACCACAGTGATGTAGTGGAACATGAACAGAGAGGAACTCCAGCCCTGGGCCCTCTGCCGGGAGGGCAGCTAAGTCCTGCTTCCTGACAACATTTCTGACAGAGCATGTGGGAGGGAGTGTGGATAGTGGGTGGTAGGTGGAATAATGGACCCCCAAAGATTTCTGCATTCTGTCTCATGGAACCTGTGAAATGTTACCTTTTATGGGAAAAGGGACTCTGTAGTTAGTATTAAGATAAGGACCTTGGGATGGTGAGCTTAACCTGAGATACTGTGCATTAACCGAGAGAGTTTAGCCTAATCACATCTTTGGACCATCCACTCTAAAAACAAACAAACTTTCCCAGCTTTGGTTCAGAGGGAAATGTGAGTAAGGAAGAAGGGTCAGAGGGAAGCAACGTTGTTTGTTTGAAGAAAGAAAAGGGAGCATGGAGCCCAGGAAGGAATGCACACCAGCTTTGGAAAGTAGACAAGGCAGGGAGCGGACATCTTCCCCAGAGCCTCCAGAAGGAGTGCAGCGGTGTTGACACCTTGACGTCAGCCCATGGGGCCTGATGTCAGATTCTAATGTACAGAACTGTACAATAATAAATTTGTTTTGTTTTTCAGCCATATGGTAATTCATTACAGCATCAGTCGGATATCAAGATTTTACTACCATAAACAACTGAAGAGGAAACCTGTTTTCAATGGAAGTCCTGTTAAAAAATGGCTTTGTCAGGAGATATTGCTGAGAAGGAAGGACCAGAGCCCCCGCTGCCGCAGGAGGAAATGAAATACCAATCGTCATACCTGCTAGACAGGCAGGCCCTGTGGAAGGCAGCTTCCTTCTCTGGCCCTTTCGGTAGCAGTCTCAGGGCTCAGACTCCCATCCTCGAGGGCCCCCGCCTTCTCCCCAGCCAATGGTCAATGCGCAGCGCTGACCTGAGCAGATGACCCCTGCGTCCTCCTTGTGCCAGCAGTCGTGCTGTCCCCAGCCCCGGGAAGGGCACTGCCACAGGTGGGACTCCTTTCCTGTGCACTTCACGTCATCCAGCCAGATCCGGTCTGATCCTGCCCCGAAGTGAGCAGAGACCGTGGCATTGATGGCTTGTCCACAGCCCAGCTGTCTGCACACGACCTGGGCATCGTTCAGGTCCCAGCCGTCATCACAGACGGTGCCCCAGGCGCCCCGGTGGAGGATCTCCACTCTGCCGGCACAGCGACTGCCCCCGTCCACCAGGCGGAGCGCTCTGCTCTCTGAGGAGAGAGGGGTAAATGGGGCATTTACAGAGGGAAAAAGAATAGGGTTTTCTGGCCCTGTGGGAGCCCTCACCTGAGCAGTTGGCAGCGCTGTCCTCTGAGGCTGCAGAGCCTGCTGGTTCAGACACTGAGTCGCACCGGGGCAGCACCTGGGTCTGGTTTCCTGGAAAGAGTTGGAGAGTGAGTAGGGTTGAAGAAAAGGAAATTAAACTTCATAGTAACCTAATGATGGGGTCTGAGATGAAAGCTGAAAGTTAGGAGTAATGGTATAATATTAGACTCACCTTCTTTATGGAGAGTTCTACTACTGACAATACCCAAATTTCTCTTTTAAGCTAAACATTGCATGAAAAATGAGTTTAGAGAGAAGCTGGAATGTATTAGTACTCTGAGAAAGTGTTGTAGAACTAGGAAGGCAGTGAGAACTTAAGGAGCCAGGCTGTCAGAAGGAAGGAAAGGGCAGAGATGAGCCCCTACCCCAGAGGACTTTGTGAATTAAAGGGTTATTGTCTAGACTCTGAACAGCTCAGGAAATTTTGTCAGACTCACAGGGTTTGGGGAATACAAAGTATAATTCAGGGTGAGCCACAGAGGGCCTTCCCTGTTAACCAGAATCCTAAGGCAAAGTAAGATAAAAATATTCCTCACAGGAAAGGATGCTCAGGTTCTAATCACTGCATTTCCTTTTAAATAAGGCAACCCACCCTTAAATCAGGTTCCTGGAGGCAAAATAAGTGCTTTCTGAAGGACTTCTACAGTGTCTATCAAAAAAAAAATTCCCATATAAAAAGGATCTTGTGGAAAACGAAGAGGAAAAAGGACACATTCCGATGATTTTCACAAGACATCTAGCATGGAGTTACCTGACTAGGAGTTTAAATAACCATGATTAAAATGCCCATAGAATGGAAAGACAAAGTGCTTGTCTTGGCAGAGAAGTTATTACAAAAAGCAAATAAAAATTCTAAGACTTAAAAAGTTGAAAGAACTGAAAAAGTGAGTGTAATGGCACATTAGATCAGCACATAGTAGAAATAGGAAAAGAAAAGATCAGAGGCAAATATATAGAATAAAGCACAGACAGGCAAAGGATAGAAAAACATAAAAAGGGGAACAGGAAACATGCTGAAAAGGTGTGATCTTCATGTGTACAAAGTCCTAGATTGATAAAGCAGTAACTGATAAAATGAAAGGTAGAATACACTAGAAAATGCACAGTCACAGTCTGATATTGAATACACCGATGATGATTCTTTAAACCCTTCCACCAGTCTTTGATAGTGCGTCCTTTGAGAAGTGTGGTCCATAGCTCTCTCACTGGATCTTGGCAAACCTTTGAGAGCTGCCTGTAAGCAACAAAATGCAGCGAAGGCAACACTGCTTAACTCTTAGCACTAGGTCAGAAAATCGTGCAGCTTCCCCACATTTCATTTAGGACATTTGCTTTAAGGGAAGCCTGACTCTGTTGAGCCTGTCAGGTTGGAAAGGCCATACGCATGTGGCCTTGTTAAGCCCAACTACCAGGTGTTTTGGGTGTAAGAGAGCCACCTGGATTTCCAGCTCAGGCAAGCCGTCAGATGCCTTTAGCCCCAGGTGACATCTAAGTGAAACCACATAAAATACCTCAAGATAGAACTGCCAAATCGAGTCTGTCTCAAGGTCCTGACCCAGGCAATCTGAGCAAAATGACGTGTATTATTTGTTTTCAGCTGCTGAGTTTTTTAGGAAAATTTGTTAGTCAGTGTTAGTAACCAGGACACTCACCGTGTTCCCTAGAATGCTGCCACTACATAGAGAGAGAAATGTTTGTCTTTAACTTCTACTAAAGGGATTAAAAATGTTTGTCTGAACGAGGATTGAACATGAATGCTCATAGCATCTTTATTCATAGTAACCCCAAATGTGTGCCATGTCTTTTGGACCAACGCCTTGGAAGGTTCTTAGAGAGACTATGGGACAAGCCCTCTGGTTTTTGTAGATGCTGTTGGTGAGTGTTTCCAGGGCTTTTGTTATTCAGAAAAACAAAATGAAAACACCTGTCTCAGTAACAGGGCGAGCAAGGCCAGAAAAATGATCTATAGGTATCTAAAATATATAATGGTAATTTTAACAATTATGCACCTGAAAACTATAGAATGCATGTTATTCTCAAGAGCGTGTAGGCCATTTACCAGGACTAATTATATGCTATAGCAAATATGAGTCCCAAAAGTTTTGCAAAGGAAAAATTATGAAATGGTGATTAAAAATTATTTTTGAGTGTAGTAGAACTAAGCTAGAAACAAACAAAATCAGTTAAATCAATTATGCCAAGGTATACTTTTCACTCAATAAAATACACCTACATTAAGAACACATTGTGATGTTTTGACAAATGCATGCACTCTAGAATCAACTACCTTAATATAGCATGAACATAAACCCCCAAAGTTCCCATTTGCTTTGACAGCCAATCCGTCCTCTGCCTCACAACCCAGTTTCTGGGCAAACATTTCTGTCTTCTGCCACATAGTTTAGTTTATGTCTTATAGAATATAGTGGAATCATATAACATATATTTCTTGTTGTATGGCTTCTTTTTCTCAGCATGTTCTTGAGAATTAACCTGTGTATATATATTTATCAGTTGTTTCTCCTTTTAATGGTTGAAACGTCTTCCATTTTCTGAATACAGTACAATTTGCTTATTCGTTCTTCTGTTAATAAAATTTAAGTTGTTTATGCTTTTTTACTATTGCTAGTAAGGATACTATGAACATTAATGCTCGAATCTTCCTGTGGACCTAGGTTTTTATTTCTCTCATGGCATTGTCTAATAGTAGAATTGCTGGGTAACATTTAAATGCATGTTTAACTAACTTTTGGTATATTTACACAATGGGATACTATGCAGGAGAAAGAAAGAAGGAACTCCTACCCTTCGTGACAGTGTGGATGGAACCGGAGAGCATTATGCTGAGTGATAGAAGCCTGGCAGAGAACAAATATATGAACTCGCCTTTAAGATGTACTAATAAACAAAACCAACAAGAGAGCAAAATAGAACCAGTGACATGGAAATAAAGAACAAACTGACAGTGACCAGAGGGGTGGGGAGGAGGGGAATAACGGGGGGAAAGAAGGGGAAGTGACCTGCAAAGGAACACAAATAGAGGACTCATGGGCACCGGAAATGGGGGGCGTTGACTGTGGGAGTTGGGGGGACTGAGTTGAGGTGAGCAAGGAGGGAAAGGGGAGACAACTGTAACTGAACAACAATAAATTAAAACAATTTTTTCTTTTTTTTCAAAGTGTTCTCATCCTCTTACATTACCACCAGCAATGCATGGAGCTCTAGGTGCCCACATCCTTGCCAAAACTGGAATTGTAAATGTTTTAATTTTAGTCATTCTAGTTAGCAAATTTCTCCTCATACTTTAATTTGAATTCCTTCATCATTAATGATGAAGTCTAGTTCTCATTTTTTAAATGCTTAATGCCTTAAGAAATGTTGCCTACTCCGAGATCCCCCAAATTTCCTCCTATGTTTTCTTTTAGAAGTTCAATTGTTAAACATTTTACATATAGGTTGTTTGATAATCAATTGAAGCTCTTTTTGTTTTGTTTTTTTGGTGCTGTGTGAAGTAAGGGTTGGGGTTCATTTTTCAGTCATACAGATACTTTATTCCAACATCATTTCTGAAAATATATACCTCCTCCAATATTTTGGCACCTGTATTATTTTGCTGGGGCTGCTGCAACCAACTACCGCTCACTGGGTGGCTCCAGCAACAAAAATTTATTTTCTCACAATTCTGGAGGCTAGAAATCCAAGGTCAAGGTATTGACAAGGTTGATTTCTTATGAAGGTGATGAGGGAAGGAGCTGTTCAAGGCTGGCCTTTGGCCTTGGCTTGTAGATAGCTGTCTTCTCCCTGTGTCTTCCATTGATCTTTCCTCCGTGTGTGTCTGCATCTTAATCTCCTCTTCTTACAAGGTTACCAGTCATATTGGATTTTGGGCTGATCCCTATGAATTTTGTGTGCAGGGGCACAATGTAATCCATAATAGCATCGTTGTATGTAATCAACTGATACATATATTTGTGTCCATTTCTGAACTCTCTATTCTGTTCCACTGATCTCTATATATCTATCCTTACTCTGAGACAATAGTGTCTTGTTATTGCAGCTTGATAGTAAGTCTTGAAATCAGGAGCTTCTGGATTTGTTCTTCTTTTCCAAAGTTGTTTTGCCCTTTTTTGTCCCACATAGATTTTAGAATTGGCTTATAAATTCGTGCAAAGACATTTACATTATCCCAATGAGTGAATATGGTATGTTGGCTGCTTTTGTGTGCATTAATGAAGCTAAAAGAGAAGGAGTCAGAAACTGCCAGAGCCTCAGAGTCATGGCTAATGATTTATTTTGTAGAAGGAAGGCCACAACACCGTAAAGGAATTGGGTGGAGATCATGTGAAATCCTAAGAGGGACCCTGCTCCACTTATGATCAGTAAAATGATTCACGTGGTGCAGGGGAAAATAGTCAAGAGCCCCTAAAACCTGGGGATATTAAGGCAAAGAGTTAAGCTATCCTGTGGGACAGTATAAGCATTTCATCCATGATCCCTTTTTCATATTTTATGCACAGGAGATTAAACAACATACTCTTTTAGAAGATTCTGCTGAATGGAGGGGAATGCTCAGTCTTACTCGGGATCCTCCATTCGTTGCAGCTTATGCTAAAATGTGGATAGAGAGACAAAGTCTTTAAAAAACTTTTTTCTTTTTTATTCTTCTTTTTTTATGTAGGCAAATATGACTATTTTTAAGTCATTTCTATTGTTATTCTATTACAGTTTTCCCAATTTTCTATCTTTGAATTGTATTTTTTTCCATTACCATTTATCTGAGACAAACTCTTAATGGAGTGAATGATATAAAGGCAGGTGTGCATAACTCATATCCTAATTTATTTATTAGTTATTGTAGCACTTATTTGTATTACAACTATAAACCTACTTTTGCCCATCCTTGTATCTTTGGTTTTCAACATGGGAAAACAGAGAGCTGAGGAAAGAGAGGCAGGGGAAGGAATAAGCCTCTGTGTATGAAATATCTGTTGCCATAGTGTGCTACAGTGTGTTTCAGGTACTCTGCAGTGTATTGTTCGGGTAATGCATAC